CGAGACTAGACTAGACAAGGGAGGGAGGCGAGGCTCTTCGGTGGGACGCAACGCTTGGCCTGCTAGTTTTTTTTCCCGACTCTGACTCGTAGCGACTGGGGCCGCTGCTCGGCCATCTCAGACGTGGAATATATTGCTCCCTACTCCCCCGGATGGAGCCTGATATCTTGGACCTTTCTTCTCCATATCAACAAACACACTTTACATTAACGCCACAATACTGAATATTATTATTTCATCACCACTTGAAGACGAATACAACATCGATCAGGATCCGCAATACAAACAACACGCGCCTAACAACCACCACATGATATAATACCTGAATCTCATCTATTACTACTACTGAGGCATCAATACTTGATCATCGCTTCACGATCCGAACATCTTCATCCTTGATCAACGCACAAGGATATAACAACTTAACCAACACAACCATTTTACCGCACAAATCCACTGCGCTGGCCGCTTCACACATCAACATGTCACCAATGTCATCAGATTCATACTACATCATCCCCAATCTACAAGCCATGGACCCCTCCACCCACGAGATCGACCTCAACTCCCAGACATGGATCCAGCCCATCATCATCGAGGACGAGGATCTCATGTTTGGCGGCAAGTCCCTGAGCACCTGGTACGAGGAGGACCGCTCGCGCCTCAGCAGCGGCAGCAGCAGCGGCAGTGATGATGGCAACCAGAGCCCCGAGGAGGAGGAGGAGCACCGAGGACGAGAGCGGACGAGGCGACACCACCACGACAAGAAGACGCTGAAGAAGTCTCACCGAAAGTGAATGGGATCAACCGACACAGAACCATTTGCTACCACGCAGGCATGTCGACTTCATCCCGCGCTTTGACGTCTTTTTGGGCTGCAATCCATAATCTTGCAGTCTACCTCTCACACTTACGCTACATACATACATCTACTCGACATCTTTTATGCAACGCCTCTCCATCTCTATTACGACTCGTCCGACTTGCTCCAATATCCATACTCCAGCTACAGCGCATCACCACTTTAGAATGCGGGAAAGAGAAAAGAAATCATTTACTATCATCGAGTTACACACGGCGTTTTGTTACTTCACATCATCATCATCATCATCATCGAATCATTCACTGCTTGCGTCGGGAATAGCGCGGGCTTGACTCTGGGCTTTCTCTCATCTCTCTCTTTTGGCGCCCCGGCATCTCTTACATGGTTGGGCAATTTCTTTTGGCTGACTTGGTGCGGTCCAAATGGACCTATTTTTATACCCAAGGGGATTTTGCTTTTTTTTTTTGCTTTTTTTATTGCGGGATTGCATGTAGAACATTGCGTCTTACAACATTTCTTTTTTACGAGGGGTATAATGCAATGAGCTGATGAGTTATTGATGCTTGGGACAGAGTCGTATAGGGGATGGATTGGACGTTGACAGAAAGGGATCATCTCAGCAGAGTCTCTTACATACACAAACTGAATGGCAGGAATACCATAACAATAAACAAATATGAACATATTTACCTCATTACCATGTGAATTTGAGTCATCGATCGTGACATGTGCATGACATGTGGAAAGCGGGAAACAAACTCGGCACGAGTAAGGGGTCTATACGTCTATACCTCTATGGAATAACTTTGCGTGATTCGCGTGCCGTGCGGCGGCCACCCACACAACTTGTTACGCCACGCGCGCCGCTTTTAGTTGCGTTTTTCGGAGTCCTTTGCTTAATGCCTTCTTTGGGAAGAAGAGTCCGCGCGGATTCGGTTTTGATGAAAAGTTGGTCCGAGAAAGGAGGGTTCAATGCGACCGTTGGGGGCTTCTGTTGTTCCTACCTATTGTTCTGAGGTTGAGATGGAATAGCAACTATCTCGCAAAATGGACAGCGACATAGAATCTACGGCCGGTGAGTGCAGCTGAACGCACACAGCTTAATACTACAACATTCAGCTTTCAGCTCGTGTCGCATTTACATTCCTTCAAAGTTCTCATTTAATATATTCAGCTGCCTATTCCCACCACACCCTCTTTTTCCAAACCGCGCACCGCGATACCGGGAGGCAAAAGATGATTAAGAACAGAATGAGTCGTCGCTAAATGGTTTCGGCGATCCAAGAGGCCGGATCATCAGCTAGCTGACTCTTTAAGCTAACTGAAGTTGAGAGAGTGTGTGTGGGGAAGAGAGACGCTCGCACGCGAAAAGGGGGACCGAAGAGAGTGAAAAAGTTTTTTGTGGCTTTTGCTTCTTTGGGGGTTTGGTATTGCTTTTGAAGAGAGGGCCCCCTTCGTTGAGGTGATTGACATTGAGGTTGTGGGTAAAGAATGAAGAGAGAGGGAGAAAATTTTAAAGGTGTGAGTGGGTGTACAGTATGTGGGCAAAACGGCGAGGATTGAATAGGGGATGTGGCGTTTTGTGGTTTACGAGAGTCAGTTGCTTCTGGGTAAGTGTTTCTCCCGAAGAGACTTGAAGAGAGGGAATAGTTGTTTGCATTCTTTTTCTGCCATTGTCATGTCTATTCTAGCCTTCGTATTGAGTGCTTCTAATAATAGCCCCAGGCTTCCTCATGGCTGCTATTGTTATTGTTGTTGTTGGCTGTTCCTAACGGCGGCCCCGAGTTATTCGGCACTTGGACGCATCTGCCGTGGGCCAACACGTGTCGCAACCCCATATTACTATGCTTGGACCCTCTTTTTACCGTCGTAGGCCTTGATGCTACATGATGTTAGGGATACGGAGTGGCATTGAGTAGCATTGCTTGGAGCACCTAGGGCATATGATGTAGGCAGGCCGTTCTGAATGCATGTGTGCATGTACGCATTCATGCACCGCCAGCAGCAAGGCGTCCCCTGCGCGGACCTTGTTCCAGAAGCAGGTTCGGGGCCATTCCTTTAGCTTCTTCTGCGTTGTTCCATGCGGGCTTCCGTGAGCTTACGGCCTGCAGAGAGTGTGTTGCAGCCCAAGAAGAGCAGCATGTGGCTTACGTCTCTGTTGTTCTATTTCTGTTCTATTTCTTCTTTTGTCTGCCTTTCTCATGCGCTGATGTGTTGGCAGAGAGATCAAGGGCATGAAGGCTTGAATCCTTATTCGTAGCTGCGTTCTGGTGGCGGTGAAGGAGCATGTCGTTTGCGGGCGCTTTGAGAAGTGGTAAATATCGGTCAACATGGACTTTTTGATTGGTCAATTCATGTTGGACGAATTCGATTCTAGTATACTGTAGATAGTTATATGATAAGACATTGCATGGTGTGAAGCTGGTTGCCGTATTGAAGCGAGCGGGTCATGTTTACCGTTTCCAGCTGGAAACGGTGTTGGCCGCTTACATGTAGGTGAGACGTCTAATTACCCCGTACCGATGAATCCAGCAGGAGATCACGAGATCACGCTCTCTGTGGATTCAGCATTGTATATCAGCTTCAAATCTATTCGTGAGATAGCGAGATTTGAGAAACTCATCGTCTCTAAGAATGAAACTATAATTTACACCTACAAATAGCACCGGTGAGCATGTGCTCGCGTACGCTTCGCGAAGACGAAAATAGATATAACTCTCATAAGCAGTAGAAGTACATCATTCTCTAGAACTATAGTGCTGCATTTTAGTGTTCTTTAGGTTTATATTCCGTCTTCTTGGCTCGTCTTCATGTCCAAATCACGTACAGGGAGTTTACTGGAGCGTATTTGGTATACTTCACCGCAGCAGATAGCGAAAAGAAGAAAGCTTCTGTACAGCATGTAATCCCGTAAAATCTTCAGCGGGATAGGAATCGATGTATACGTTTTACTTCTCATTTACACTACATATATTCCATTGTCAACCTAGCTGCGCATCAGGCCCTCACCCGGGCTTCTTCATGAACCGGTCACTTGCATCTCGAATACGAGCGCCCGAATCCTAGATGCACTAATGCGCAGCAGTAGCAGATGCATATATTCCGAGATCATCCGGCTTGGTCTGGAGGCAGCGCATAGGGCTAGCTAAGCGTCTATCAAAATGTCGTAAGCGAGATAGACAAAACCGCAAGAGTTTTTGGTAGAGAGATGGACAAACGAAGAGATGCCACCAAAGACGCCGAAAGATGAAGTCATATAAGTATTTCAATTGCACTAACAGAAAGCTGATCACTGCAATTTGTTCTTATTCTGCCCGATGTATGTTCTCGAAGACTCCACCTTACGTTTCACAGCTCCCAGTATAGAATGTACGTGTAGGCTAGTTGCCAAATACACCTTGTGCTTTGAAAGCATTGGTAAGCATTTCATTTTTCCTCTTTGGGTCAAATCTCTACTAGAGCTAACTGCCATTATCAGGGGTAAAAAGGGCGCCAGTAGCCCAAGCGTTGATATCTTTGCGACGGCCCAAGTGTCTTGATGCCGGCTGCCAGTTGAGACTATGGCCAACTCGCGATGGCTGCATACCAAACTCCATCTGGCGTATGGCAAAGAACGACTGTCAAGTCTATTTAGACACATGATCTCGGCTACTTTTTAGGTGTTGATTTCAAATATCTCTTCAAGTTCATTCCGCAAAAGGAAGAATGAGATAAGAATGGAACAGAAAGTAGCCTCGCATGACCCATCTCGCCTAGCTGAAAGGCCAAAACGGTTTATGGTTTCAGTCGGTGAGGCCTTGAATTAGCTTTTTAATTTACGTTCAAAGTTATGTTAGACTCATTAATTCTCAAATGTTCCATAGGGTACCCAGATTCGTTTTACGATGTTACTTCACGATAGTTGATGCGGGGTCCAACTATCGTGAAGCGTGCAGAAAAGGCAACAACCATATTTCCCAAACTGGATAATCCTTCTCTCCGTAACAAGGTGGTCCGATATAGAGAATCAAGGTCTTTTCAACCTTGATATTGAATTGAATGACAAAGAAGTATATAAGATCGCAAAGTGTCGGTTCAATAAGAACTGCTTCAAGTTGCACCAGCGGGATCATCGCTTCTTGCCAGGCACGTGCCAGAATCCAACACTCATTATCTCTATCATCAAGAAATATCCAGCATGAGGACGCTCCTTCTTCTAAGCGCCTACTTCGGGCTGCTTTCAGAAACAAGCGCAGCAAGTATTCCCGCTGTGAAGCCTTTCACCGTGAACCTTTCTTCGCGGGTGCCGCACATGCTTGATCTGATTGGGAAGACAACTCTGCCTGCAGCTGAGCTCGCCGCTGCTCATGCTAGTTTAAACATGAGTTTGACTACCGGAATGCCGCTTGATACGCTGAAGAGCTTACAAAATGAATGGGTAACAAGCTTCAACTGGACACGGGAAGAAGAACAGATAAACGCGTATGAGCATCTGGCCCAAGTCCATGAAATGATGAGCGAGTAATAAAACTGACTTAATGCAGATATAACCATTTCACAACACAAATTGGACATCAGACCGTTCATTTCATCCATGAGAAATCCAAAGTTCCAAATGCCATTCCCCTCATCTTGCTGCACGGCTGGCCTGGCTCGTTCCTCGAAATGGTTCACCTTCTCGACCAGCTCATGCTGAGCAACTCCAGCCAAGCATTTGACATCGTCGTCCCGTCTCTGCCTGGCTTTGGATTCTCGTCTCCCGCTCCCAATGAGTGGTCCACTTCGGACACGGCCACCCTCTTCAACACGCTCATGATTCAAGTTCTTGGATACAAGAGTTATGCGGTGCACGGAACGGATTGGGGCAGTGTCGTGGGGTTTGACATGTATGATCAGTTCAATAATACTGTCAAGGCGGCGCATTTTAACTTTTTGCCGTTCTTCTCTTTAACGCCTGAGCAGCTGACGGACCAAGGAATCGCGCTCACTGCGGCTGAGGCGATTCAGGAGCAGAGGGCTATGGACTTTGAGAATTCGGGCATTGGCTATTACATGGAACAGGCTACAACTGTACGCTCTATCCCTCCACGAGTATTGATGGTATGATGCTAATACGTTACGATTGCAGGTGAATACCGTGGGCCTCGCTCTATACGACAACCCACTTGGACAGCTATCTTGGATCGCTGAGAAATTCATCATCTGTGAGTTTAGACACACATGTGCATCATATCACATATCTGTACTGACAATGCATAGGGTCCGACCCGCGACGAGGAACTGGGCCTTCACTCGTCACCAACAACGAGATTCTCAGGCACGTATCCATGTACTATCTCACCCAGACTTTCGACTCTGCCGCCTTCATCTATGCCCAGAACCCAACTGGCAAGGGCTTCTCATACACCTACCGAAGAGCCCGGACCAACCAGCCTCTTTTGTATAGCAACTTCCAGTGGAACATGCTCTTCTACCCAGAGAGGCTGGTGGCGACAATCGGCAACTTGGTCTACTATAATTGTGAGTCATGACGCCACTGGGGAGAGAAGCGATGCTATAGATGGCTCGTGAACATATTGCTGATATCTTCGTGTCTGACTAGCGGTTGAGTTTGGCGGACATTTTCCCGCCCTGGAAAACCCGCCTGCGTTGGCTGACGATATTAGAATGATTGGAAAATACTTTAGATCGTAAAACTATTGTGTACCCTAAGCGCTTTACTATTTGGGAAGCATATCAAGAATAAAACCTCATTTACTTTCTTGATTAGTTGAAGCTTCAGTTCACATATATGGTTGCATTCGGCGAATTAAGACGACGTGTAAGCCGGCACTGCATCCGAGCGTCCGCATCTGCGCGACAGCAATACGAGCAATAGATGCACTAGAACCAGTTAAAGTAAGAAAATTAATAGAAGTAGCAGAGGTGGTAGAAATGGAAGAACTAGTAGATGCAATACAAGTAACAGAAGTATCTACAAGTAACAACAGTAGATCCAGTAACGAATACTTACCGTTCGATATCACAAGTGTTTGCTACAGTCACAATTATATGTCCTAATTGAAGTAACAACCGTCAAATAGGCTAAAAACATTGCGCATCTTTATACGGGATACACCCGTCGGCAGGATTGGCCCCAAAATCTTATCTACCAATCGCCGTTTTGCTTCGGCAATTATTTGTCAAACAAGGATAAGCATTGATAGGCCTTTGTGCAGCTTATTGACCTACTTTTTATAGTTAAATGAGAAACCAAATAAATCATTTGCATGATAAGTTGCGTGATTGCCAGATCCGAAAGCAGAAGCTCATTACTCGTACTATCTGCAAACTCCCTTCAATTTGATCAGAGCAGCCATCATCAATCGGTGAGAATCAGGTGTTTGGAATCAAACAATCCTGCCTCCTTGGGCAGTGGAGTGGTTCGAGCGCGCAGATACGAAGTTGTAGTGGAAGTCCATATGTGGTAGGTATGCATCAGCGATCTAATAGGGAATGTGATTTTGTGTCTTTGCACTTCATGGGAATATGCCAACTTTGGCAAACCTTGAAGGGGACTTCATCCACCGTTTTAGGGTAGAGGTACCAGATGGTCTAGATCGGCAGACGGTCATATCGATTTGCGCTCGTCAGGAAACATATAAATCTCAGCGTGCATCCTCTTGATAGTCAAAGCCCGATTCTTGCCCCTCAGCAATCACTATGTTTATTTAGAGTCGAAACCATGAAGTTCAGCTCTGCACTGGGCCTCTTGGCCCTCGTTGGCGGGACATCAGCATCGTCTAATACAATTGCTGCGCAGAGCCAGCTTGCTCCAAGCCAAAATATCACTGTAGTCCCTAACACGTTTCTCATTGAGCTGCAGTCGGACTTTCACCCAGGTCTACAGCCCAAAGAAAAGTTGGCAAAGACCGCTCCTGGTAGCAACGCTGGCTATCATGTTCGTCAGCAGTACAACAGCACCGAGCACTTCTTTGGCGTCTCGGTTGCCTTTGATCAAGACGTTGATCTCGCCACTCTGAAGAAGACGGCTGGCGTAAAGAATGCCTGGAGCGTCACCGTCGTGCCTCGCCCAGTCCCTTATCAACAGCTGACGGGCTCACCAAACTCGAAAGACACGTCGAAAGACAAACGAGACACTCTACCAAATTACAGAGGCAGCGAGAGGGTCAATGAGCCACTGGCAATGGCTGGTGTAGATAAGCTCCACGCACAAGGCATCAAGGGCAAAGGAGTGCAGATTGCCATCATCGATACCGGCGTCGATTATAACCATCCCTCGTTGGGTGGAGGATTCGGCCCAGGCCACAAGATTGCTCTAGGCTACGATTTTGTGGGAGACGACTTTACCGGCTTCAACTCCCCTGTGCCCGATCCTGATCCCCTGGCCACATGCGTTGGCGGGGAACATGGGACTCACACGGCTGGTATGTATGAGCCTGACTCGTTGCTATTGCCTGCTGGACTAGATTGAAGCTAATTAATAACTTTATTTAGGTATTGTCGGCATGGAAGATCCCGAGAACGAGGGATTTGGACTAGTCGGTGTGGCTCCCGAAGCAACTATTGCAGCGTATCGTGTATTTGGGTGCAATAACGGGGGCACTACCAACGATGTTATCATTGCAGCGATGCTCAGAGCTGCGCAAGACGGCGCAGATGTTGTGTCCATGTCTTTTGGAGGAGGTAACGGATGGGAGTTAGACGATCCATTCAACGACGTCGTCACCCAATTGGTCAATAGTGGCGTGGCCGTTGTGGCAGCCATTGGCAATGTCGGTATCGAAGGATTATACTGGCCTCAATCTCCCGGCCTGTCCCACGACGCACTATCTGTGGCTTCAGTCGAGAACGGTGTTTTCCCTGTGGCATATACTGCTCACGATGACCAACAAAATGCCCTCGACTATATATCTGTGTTCCCAGCCACCAACCTGGGCCGCCAACAGATCTACACGCTGGGAACGGGGCTTGGAGTACCTCCCGATCCTACTATCTCGAGTGGATGCGATACGTCGGTATGGGCCGCTTTGCAATCGGCTACGAACCGAGGGACGATTAACTGGAACAACACCATCCTGTTGGTCTCGGTAACTGAATCGTGTGTATCTTTATTCAATAACTGGGGCGAAGCAGCTGCGATTGGCGTCCAGACAATGATGGTCTATGTTGCAGACGACGAACAGCTAAACGCAAGTCCACTGGACGGCGTACAGATACTGTATTTGAATCATGAAAATTCGCAGAAGCTCATTGATATTTTCGACAACCTACCCGCTGACCAGACTTCTTATTATCTGACATTTGACGGCGACAAAGTCAAGGACGTGCCAAACAAGCTCGGAGCAACAGTGGACGCCTTCTCCAGCTATGGTCCCACAGTCGAAATGACACTCGTGCCCAAGATTTCATCTCCTGGAGGGAACATCCTCTCCACATGGCCCCTGGAGGGAGGCGGCTATGCCCTTCTGTCGGGTACTTCGATGGCAACCCCTTTCATCGCCGGAAGTGCCGCGCTGCTCAAGTCCCAGCAGCCACACCTCGGTGTTTCAGAGCTCTATGCACGACTTATGGCCACTGCTAAGCCGCTCAAGGAGTTCGGCCTGCCACTTGTTGCGTCTACGGCTCGGCAGGGCGGTGGCTTAGTCGATGCTTATGCCGCCGTCCATGCAGATACTGTCATTTCCCCGTCTGAGATTGACCTGCGGGATTCCGCATCGCCGGCGCCCCAGAAGATCACCATCACAAATCAATCCAAGGGGAAGAAGACATACCAGATAAGGCATGTGCCGGCGGCGTTTACCAGGGTCTATTACAATTATCTGGCCGGTGGCCCGGATATCCCAAGGAATGGAAGCATTTACCCCTTGGAAATTGATGCCTCGGCCAAGTTTTCTCGATCATCTCTGATTCTTGAAGCCGGACAGTCGGCCACTTTCGAGGCTCAGATTACTCCGCAGGAAGACAAATGGCCGTATTCAATGCCTGTGTATGCCGGCTTTGTTGAGGTGTTTTCTGGCAATGAGACGTATTCAATTCCGTACATTGGTGTACCTACTAGTCGAGCCGAAGTTGGCCCTATTATGGTGAATGCAACACCACCAGGCTCACTTTCTTCTCCGGCCGTATACAAATTCCAAATAACCAACCCCGGTGGCCAAGCAACTAAGCCGAATATTGATACGTACAACCTCACAGGCAGCCCGGACGATGCTCTCCCCTTAATTTATATCTCCACTGGACTGCCCTCTCGGCTCGTTCGTTTGGAACTCGTATCGGCAAACACATCCTTTGTTCCATCGATATATGGCTTCGACCCCAACGTCGCTATTGACTATCGGCTGCCCGCTATAGCTACTCAATCCGGTTATCTTGGCGAGCCAAGCTACGGAATCATATCTGCATCCACAATAGACCCTGTCTCTGCTAATAGTCCCATCCAGCAAGGTCTTACGTTTAACTTGTTTGTGTCTGGTCTCATTGAATCCCCCACCTTGACAAGCGACAACAACACCTCGATCAAGCTAGTTTCTGGAGATTACCGGCCGCTTTTCCGTGCCTTGAGATGGAACGGCGACGAGTCAAATCCTGCTGATTACCAGTCGTGGCTGGGACCAGTCCTGAGATTGAACGTTACAAGCTCTTGAGGGGGGCTTGGGCTTACTGGCAATCAAACCACATTATGACGATGTCTGACTGCGTCAAGTCGGGAATTTTTCCGTCAACAAGATGATTGTATATAGTGTTGCTTGGATATATATATACTCCGTACTAGGCTCAGCAGAGACATATCATACAGTGATGATCCATTTTCTGATTACCTATCTATTTTCTGATTACACACTAACGCAAAAACTGCTGGATGCTGTCTAGCGCGCTGAGCTGTGAAATGCTCCTAGTAGTTGTCAGACCTCGCCTGATCCCTGCTTCGTTTCCATTGCTTGTCTATCAACAAGCTTTATGTTACAGGAGATCATCACAAGTCTCAATTCAACTAACCGTAAATGGTGCCTATTCGGAGGGAGGATTGTGACCCCCAAGGTTATATAAGAGCCTCATGTAACGCAAGTATGACATTCGGGGTTTCCCCCCGGTCATTCGTCTTTTGTCGTTTCTCTCGTTGCTTCCTAATATAGTAATCATTGCTAACTTAAAGCTAGTCGCCCATAGGGCGCCCACCGGATACAAGTCTGAATACTAATCAGTCAGAAATTGAGGAACCAAGGTTTCTGAATCGGTTGGTGTAGCCCTATTCTCATAACTCCTGCTTAGCGCTGATCTGATTGGAGGAATTGCTCGGAGAACGACGCGGGTTCGTTGACAAGGTTGGAAAGCTGCAAGGCTAGAAAGTTGATCAAGGGCTTCGGAGTTGAACAGGGATCTCCGTCAGAGATGGGACACCGTGCCATGAAACTACGTAACTGGTGCGGCTCCCACACAGCCCTACGGCCTTTGAAACTGCTGCTCAACGCCCACATTCTATCGCAGACCCAGTATACATACCGACCGAATGGAGCACCCACCGAGCCCGCCGCTAAAATCTCACACGCCGTGAAATGCCGCTAATCAGGACGTAGTAGTATACTAAAACGGCTATGCCAGCTCCTTTTAGGGCGCCGTCAACCCTGCCATGGCGCGGGGCACTGGCTTGTAAGTTGGAAGATCGTAGTAGCTTGTTAGCTCAACTTTGCTGCGTATGAGGATAGGTTGTGAAGCATAGTTCTGAATTGCTTCGTGTTCTGTCTAATGATTTGGGAGAAGTGATTTCCGCCCATGAAGGGTTCAGAGAGACTAAGCTTTCCTCTGCAAGGGCGCCGAGATGCTCTGCGTGCGTAGTTGTGTCTGATTTAGTAACGATTCCCCTGTTGAAACAAGGAAGGAGGAAAACATATATAAAGGCCATATTGGGTGCCTCTCCAGTCAAGCTCTCTATCAGCTCATTCAACACGCCAAGATCAGCTCGGTGATCATCGCGATAGAGGAGAGGAGAATCGCCGTATTCAGATCTCGATCCCGGTTTTCGGGTGTCATCGCAGCCATGTTGTCTCCCTTGTGTCTCCTCAGTAATCCTATACGAGGCGTCTTATATCTTGCTCTTCTGAGCTTACCTTGTTCTTCAACGGCTCTAGAGTCGGCAACTAACATCGCCGACTCAGTTCATACCCTAGCGCCCATCCGATATGTCAATACCTCTACACTGTCCATTGCCTACTATGATTCGGCGCCAAGCGACTCAGCCGCACCAGTTGCCATCTTGGTCCACGGGTTTCCTTATTCGATCGACACCTATGTGGACGTTGTGCCCAAGCTCTCCGCCAAGGGCTATCGCTTGATAGTGCCGTATCTTCGTGGCTATGGCACCACTTCGTTTCTCTCGCCAAGCACCCCCCGCAGCGCGGAACAAGCCGCCTTGGGCAAGGATATCGTCGACCTGATGGATGCTCTGAGCATCGACAAGGCCATCTTTGCGGGCTACGACTGGGGCTCCGTGGCCGTCAACGTTGCCGCAGCCCTGTGGCCGGATCGCTGTACCGGCATGGTTGCTGCGAATTCATACTTGATCCAGAACCGCCAGACGGCATGGGCCACGGCGCCCTCTGCGTCTCTCGCCACGCGCTGGTACTTCTACGTCTTCCTCACACCGCAAGGTTACAGCGCGCTGGCCAGCGACACGCGAGGATGGGCTGAGACACTCTGGTCCAGGAACAGCCCGCAGTGGAACTGGACGCAGGCTCAGCTGGACGCGGCGGTTCCGGCGTTTCGCAACCCAGACTATGTCGACATCGCAACTAACTTTTACAAGAACCGCCTACTGTATGCCCCCGGCGACCCATCCTATGCGAAATTGGCCGGCGAGCTAGACTTGCTGCCCGTCATCAGAGTCCCCTCCGTGACGCTGGACCCGGACCAGGCTCCGGTCTTCCCCGCGACGAATGGCTCGTCAACTGCTCAGCACTTTTCGGGACCGCGAGTGCATCATATTGTCCACGGCTGTGGCGAAAACATTCCTCTTCAAAGCCCGCAGGTCTTTGCGGAAGCTGTCATGGAAGTGGCGGCTCTCGGGAAGCGCCATAATTAACCAAGTCATGAGCTCCAACAGCCGATTCCGAAGAACGAGTTCCGTGTTGTGCGACTCATCTGTCAATTCCATCGTTATATTTTTTTTATTCTTACTTCCTAACATAGAGTAGAGATCATATCATTTAATAGTTGCTTAGCTGCTTGGCTGCAGTAATAGACAAAAGTCCTCAACTCCTGCTGCTCCCCCAACACGGAGAACCCCGAGAGCTTCGCGCATTCGCTTCTACTTCTTTAGCCGGTTCAGGAAGTAATCTTCAAATGCATATGCTTAATTTGTACAATGCCTTGGGGGCCCCCATCTTTCGGCAAACAGCCGATTTTTACGCGCGCTTATGTTTCGTTTAAGGGCGGTGGACTGCTCTTATTTCGTTTTGCTCTTCAATACTACTCTGGGTCCTCCTACAGTATCCCCCAAGGAACGCAAGAAATACAAAGTACCAAATTCTGCACTAGCTTGCCCAGAGAATAGGCCTAGCGGCATTTTTATTTTCGTCCAACGGTCCTGCATTTGTCATGTAGCAGGGGAGGGGGGCCCAGATCCTGAGTCTTATCCACACAGCTGGCCTAGATCTAGTAACTATAGATCCGCGGGTTTTCTCCCACTAGGTACGGGCTTCTTTACGAAATCGAGGAAATTTGTCCCTTGCGAGTCAACCTAACGCCGAAAAAAGTTGTGGCAACGCGGCCCCACAAGCGCCTATTTGCCCTATCTCGAACGACGAGAGGGAGTCGGGATATTAGTTCTTAATGGATAGGAGAGAACCCATTTTGAAAGTCTAGTCGTCAACAAGAGGAGAAAGCCTCAACGGCTGGCATCATGACGACGGTTAAGCCAGTGCTTCGCAGAAGCCACACGAAATCAAAGTTTGGCTGCCAGGCGTGTAAGCAGCGGCACGTCAAATGTGACGAATATCGCCCAACCTGGTTCGTCCATCAACAGTCATTGGATTTTGCTCGACCAAGAAGAGGAAAAAAAGAAAATGCGTATTGGCAAGAAAGAAGAGCTAACAAATCTCATAGTCACAGATGTCTTTCTTCCAAAATACCGTGTAAATATCCTGATCAGCCTCCAGAGGAAGAGCCTGAACAGGAGACTCCTTCGCTCTGGTGGCCGGAAGACATTGAAAATGCATGCATAGAATGGAAAGAAACGGGACAACCGCCATTCATGTCTCTAGCTCCTTCACTGAGCTGGCACAATATGGATATGAAGGACTTGCGGTATATCTACAAAATGGCTTTGGTCGCGAATATTCTCGAGCTGAGCAATACGAACGATATCTGCCTTTTATGGGGTGAAATGGGCGTGTGAGTGCAACCAGCGTCAATTGATATTACTATCTTCGTTGCTACTTTACAGGAAAAGCCATCAATAATGGGAATTTGAGACTGACATTGCTGAGTTGTTAGGCTATTTCAACTCGCAACACAATTCGACTTTGTTGCGCATACCTTGGCCGCGACGTCAGCACAACGACTTGCAGTAACTACAAAATCACACGAGGCCTCCTTAGACGCGTTCCACTACCGGAAGCAGGCCCTTCATGGACTGTATCGGGCCATGGGCAGCTTTTCCAAAGAAAATGCTGATGCGATCTTGGCGGCTTCTCTGGGATGTTCATACATAATGTCGGACTCGTAAGTATACTATTACCGAGTGTTTTCCGAGTGCTATCATTATAAAAATCAAACCGAAAGCATTCTCGAAGGATTCAGGCCACAGTTAGGCTAACAGGTGCTGCAACAGGCGCTCCTTAATGACCCTTGCGGGAAACATCTCCACTGTAAGCCTCGAGAGCATCGTCCTGTCTACAACACCGCTCACAATAGAGCAGGTGGCGAATCGAATGAAGCCTTGGCTGGAGCGGTCAGCCTTCCACAGGATCTTCACATATGAGCTTCCTGACCCCGAGAACGAAGAACAGGCAGCGGCAACGCCTCCGGAGACTGGGGATGTCGAGCACCGCTTCGCCATTGTCAAGAAACTCCTAGCTGAAGGAGTCAACTCTGTGAACGGATTGGCATTCTGTTTCCAAGGCGATCGAGATCTCTCTGCAGTACTTCGGCAGCTCAGAGACGTGATGCGTCTTGTCCATGAACGACTCGGCTCCGACATTACTGCAGAAGACCAGTATCGATTAATATATCCCTTCACGGCATGGTTCGTGAAGAGCCCGGCCGCATCGTTTGTGTCTCTCAGCAAGAAGAGCCCCTACATGCTGGTCTTCCTACTGCACATGTATGCAGTGGTTGTCGCGCTTACAACAGCGCTCCCAAGGATCGACGTTCCTTTATTCGCAAAATATCGTTTGAGGGCAATACTCCAAATCTGCAGCATTCTGAAAGACGATCCTGGTTTTTTATGCCAGCGATGTAATGGCCTTCACGCATACCAAGAGATTATGTCCTTTCCCCTGCATAGCGTGTCTGCGTATCAGCAACTTGGACGAGAGAAAGAGGTTCCTGGAGCATAGTTAGCGAGCGTGCTGCCACCATTTGGCTTTCTTGTTTTCTTTCTTTTCTCTTCAGTTACGTTTTCTCCTTCTCACTCCACTGTATTAATACCTTACCACGCATTTGAATCAGCAAACAAAGCAGGGCGCAGTTTGTCTGGAACTACTTAGCGATAGTAAACACGTGTCTATGATTAACATAGGCATACCTACTTTGGCGCCGTGAAGCGCAGTTATAACCAATCAACCAAGTTGTTGATGCGTCTAGCTTAGTCGTTAACTCATCTCCCAAGTTTTTAAACCAAATGAATAACTAGTACAATATTCATATAGTGACTTGCTGCGTCCCACATTGAATCTGGCATCCTAGCATGTCAAATCTTCCTATTAACGTTGGACTGATCGCTTCTCTCTTCGTATGAAACAAAATGTTGAGAGTAAAAGATAATTGTGAAGTCACGACGAGTCTCAAGGTAGATATAGGTGCGGAGTGGCGGATGAATTCCTCCATGAGGGAATATGATCCTGGTCGGGCATAAATGCAGTACCTTTGCTTCTCCGGTTTGCCCGTTAACTATAACCATAGTAGCGAGAGTACAGGGGTCTACCAAGTGCCCCAGCTCCTTTGCAGGCTTTAGATGACTCTAACCACTTGGAATATTTCCAGAATGCAGCTGCGGATACTAAATCTAGGCAGCAGGCAAACTGTCATTCCTAGAAGCATTATGCGGCTGGCAATCAGACAGCCTTCCGAATCGGTTCATTGAGCCTCAACACCTCTAACTAGAACAGGAATCTATCCGCCGATTCTCAATGCGCGTAATATGCTTGCTCAGACATGTCTGCGGAATTATGGTCTTATTCTTATCTTTTTTTTTTCTTGTGGCGAGCGAGCGACTATGGTAAAGATCGGATATAATCTAGAATGGGCATCATCTTGAAATCTACAATAGCAATCAAAAAAGAAAGCAATACTATGTTGGAGAAGGACTTCTTGAAAACCAATGGGAATGAATTAAGCATCATAAACACTAAGGAGACTTATTATATTTCTGAACCTTTGTTGGGTAAATATGTGTCACTCAGAAAGCCGATGCTGGAACTTGGTACCGGGTCAATCGTAACTGATTAGTCCCTTATAAGTAGTCGATTCCGTTATCATGAATACGATAATTGTGATTGCTGGACTAATTTCTGTCAATCATGTCCGCCCTCACTAGCTACGCAAAGCCATGCACAACCTCCCTGTCAATCCCATCCTCCGCAACGGCCGCGCGTCGTTTAACGCACCAATGGAAGAGATTTATAACGGAGTCACGATTATGAACCACGTTACCGGAATCTATGACTATCCACTAAAAAGATAAAGAAAGATGGAAGTACGGGGGGATGTTTCAAAAACGAGTCGAAGGCGCAGTATACGGTACATGTAGACATACGCCGAGTGCGGCTCTTCTTTGTTCTGTCGTGGGGAATTAACGTGCAGTAATTAGGTAGGATGGAATCTTGCCATACTTGGCTTGACAGCACAGAGTTGGTCTTCGTGCTCTAGAAAATTCTCTAGACATTCGCTTATGCCAGTACATTCATCTGTGTTAGCAGCCTACCGATAACTTCTCCGCCTGGATGAGCTCTGCTAAAGAGAAGTGCTGTTGTATTATAGCACGAGCTATTTTGATAGAGAAAGCTCTCCAGCACCCCAGCTTTAGCTTGATAGTGAGTCAATTTACATATCTTATAGGTATCTAATTATAACATATACTGAATTACAGCAATAGTAGCGATACTGACAGTGAAACGTTCGCGGCAGCGATATGAAATAAGGAAAGGCAACTTCCATTCGTCTTCTTCTACGAACGGCTGCTCAGAAATCCTTTTCAAGTCCACGGCTGTGAATACTTCGCAGTCCTGCAAGGAGGATAGAGCGGCCTCCTGCTTGGGTAAGGCTCCTGCTTAGATAGGGAGCGGGGGCTCAATTCCACCTTTATGTTTACCAGTATATATCTATGGCTAGTCGGGGCTTGAGTACCCTCGAGAAAATAAAGGCGGACAAGATGCTAAGGAAGTCTGTCCAAGTAAAACACTTTCGATGACACCAATTTTCTCCGGAGGATCAGGGATGTCGTTTATCGCGGTGCGATCTCGTCTCGAAAGTAGTAACGGCAGTAGTAGCCTGTGCTATAGCTAGAGTGTTAGATAATAGAACTGAGATGCTGGATAATTTTTCCCTAGTTTTAGTATTACCTTACATCTTTCTGCCATTACTTTATAAAGATCGTGGCTGATCACTCTTTACACTCATCCTTTCCTGCGCTTCACAAGCGTCTAAATTATCAATATGATATATCTCGTCCTACATCCGGTTTCCTGTTGTTTAAAATTATCTTACAACGACAAATAATAGATTAAGTACACCATCGTTGGCTAGTATCTCCAAGCACACACCTAGTCGTGCTGAATTTACTTTGCTACCAGCAGAGGAGCTTAGTTTTCCCTCTTCAAAAACTATACAGCGAAAAGCTTTGCTCTTAAGATTTTCCCAAGACGTTTCCTTTTTGCTTCATTGAAGTATTATTGACATGCAAAGGAACTTCTGCTAATCCATGCTTGCTGTATCTATTACTCTTACTCATTGAATCACAAAGTGAAGGAAGTAATGCCAATAGAGTGTGTATACACGGTATCTATCTTCTCTTTTGCGCGCGTAAACAATGCCTATCACTGATTGCGATTAACAATCACCGCATTAGATTTGGCATTAGTTACGCGGTCGAAGCGTCCAATATAAGAAGAACCAAGACATTATATCAGCTGCCACCGACGGGAACTAGCGTTAAGATTTGGGGCAAACCGCGGATGGCTGTTATTATGCTCCAGCATTACGTCAAATCCCACTCTAGCAGTGGACTCACCGTCACTCCAGAGGCGGCTCTTTGTACAGTAGTTACATGTACTATATGATGACTCACGAAACAGGATTTGACCCTGATTTCTATGTAGGGCAGTATCATTGTAAACTCAAGGATGTAATCTTGCCAACCTTCCTCTACAACGAGGAGAGAAACACCAGCATTTAGATGTAAACTTACAATAACCAAGATCCACGCGATAGTAAAGATAGGGTGCTGCTGCTGCTAGGCACTGCTTGAGAAGACACATGTCTAACGAGTGAACCTGACTCACGACATATTGGTCACATGCAACATATGGCGTATCTCCAGCCATACGCAGCGCAAATGCCTAAGCCATTGGAAACCTTCACTAAACGCCTGAACGCGGGGGAGCTGCCACCAAGTGGCGTATGGCGCGTTACCGGCACGGCGGAAAGATTGAGGTCAATGGGCAGGGCTTATCCCGATTGCAGGTAAGCTGATGGGCTGATTTTACTCAGCCCTACCTGATGAATAATAGCAACAGCAGCCAGGTGGCAAAAGAATTGGCTGTGACTATTGGGATGAAAGGTAGTGGGAAGTAGACCAATGTCACTATTGGTTCTTGTTTGCTTGGGCCTGCAGAAGGATTGCATTTGGAGGCTTAGACATGCAGGATTGGACGAATTGCTATACGCCGTTTTTGTGTATTCCTCATAGCTGGCCTGGATCTATCGGCTGACATGAGATACGCTTAAGCGGTAAGCAATTTGAATTGCGGCTGAAACCTGCACTGCATTCCTTGTACTGGAGAAGAGAGTACTCTCAGATGTCTGGACACGTCAAGCTGATAGGATCAAGCCACTATGCCCTGTATACGTGTCCCAGTAACCGAGCAAATGGGCCATCAATTGTGCGCTTGCACACGTGTAGCTGCTCCCAATCAAAAATTGAGGCGTCGAGCTGGGCATCATGTTACCAATATCCGTCCGCCTCATTCGTCGATTCGCGGCTTGGCTGCTTTTTGGAGTACGGAAGGGTCGGGCGTGGCTTGGCCTTGGGCGAGCATCAGCCTCTGGGACCCTTACAATTAGGCCACAGGCGTCGACGTTTTGGGGCCGGGATTTCAGGGTTCAAAGGATGCAGCCTGACGCCTTTGCTGGGAATCTGAAGAGGTCGATTTGTTGGCTGAAACGGCTCGATCGGAACCCTGAAGCCGATCCAGAAAGTCGGGATGGCCGTCGCACGGTTTAATATTGGAAGGGCTGTTGCTATCCGAGCGATCCCCATGCGAAGGGCTAAGGTTTTGAGAATTAGAAATGTGCCCTGGACACTACAAACTAACGGTTTCTCCTTTTGTCAGGGCGGAGAGGGAGGTTGCTGTTGCATAGCATTGCCTCCTCAATTGTGTCATGGCTGTTTCGTTTCATCATATAACTTGATGCTGACGATACTATCAAGTAACCGTCTTGGCAACTTCAACCGCAGCAACAAAGAGACTAGGCGTCAACTAAGCTTGACAGACTCGATTAAACTGGAGAAACTGCTACGCGATCCCAGGCATCCAAGCTCGGATCCCGACGCGAAAAGAGCCCACTTGAAAAAGCTTCCAAGGCCCCTCCCGCGTGCATCCGGGCCCTCACATGATTCTTTTCTCCTCTTGTGTCAGTAGCCCAACAAGGCAATGAGCAGCCATGATTCAAAGCTTTGCAAAAAGCTTGTCTCGTTCGCTCAGCGGTAAAGACTTTGAACGGGCTTACTTAAGCTGGCTGTTCCGAGGGTGTTCCGACGCCGGACAAGCTTTTTCAACTCGATGTTGCATCGTGCCGACTGTACATGATAACTTCCTGAACAAGGAAATCCGCTGTGATTAGTGTGTAGATGGGAGGTGATGCAAACGGCAAAAGATCAGCAGCGCCTTTGTTCCCCCCGCTCCGGCTATTCATCAAGCTTCTTATTCTTGTCGCTTATTGCCGTTCTTTAAGTGTGTTAAACGAAATCTCAGTCGTCCTTTTTGCGCTGCAGGGGTCTGCGATTGGACCGGCTTGGAGAGCGAAGGAAATGCATGTCTCAGTCAGCTGTTGCCGCTGCTCGGATTAGTAGAGCGTAGATGCGGTCTACGGAAAGATGGGAGATGCAAGATGCGAGCCAGTGTGCATGTATGCGCAATGTATGCATGAGCCCGCCGCGTTATGAGACAAATACATTGTGAGTACGGCTGCCTATCAGTAGGGAGATCAACTACAGTACATGAACACAGCAAGATGATCATGTGGCGGCACAGAGAAACTTGAAGAGCGCTTTTCCCTCGGTTATTTCTCGTCATGCATCTCAAATCAATTTCAAATCTACGACGGCTTCACCGCGTCGGATCTGACTTGCGGCCGGTTGATGCGGCAAGACATGTTCGCGCTCATGGAGGTCGTATGATTGCCCTGCCATCCCTCCCGCTGGGTTGCGGAATGTTCCTCGTCCATCACGATCGAGGTCACGGCGACTCGTGAAAGCTTTTCATCATGATGGCAGAATGAATCAAATCGCGAACACCACGCACAAGACGTCAACTCTTGCCGCGATGCTTCGAGGATCCACGACAATCAACCCCCCTGTTCGCCCGGGTCACGTCGTCCTGTCCACGGGCCCTCACCTCATCCTTGCACCAATGTCGACAGATCGAGCGTGTCGTCTGAAATGCGGCGATGGATGGTGTGGTGGCCCCATCCGGCGACCGCTTTTTTCAGCCGTCGTATCGTCTCTTTGTCTTGTCTCGTTTCGATGCTACAGTTCTCTCTACATTGATGCTACTCGAGGTACTTATTCCTACGTGGATGCGTCCCATCCCATCCTGACCAGCAAATGCCGTCCCGGTCTGAAACGGCGTCGGCACTTGGGGGTCACATCTGGCGCTTGCAAGCTCTCGAATGAGTCGAAACCCTTGCTTGGTCTGGCGTTGGGCACTGGTGACTCGACGGAGCATCCATTTTTAGTCACGCATTCTCGACTTTTGCAAATTAAATCCCTGGACACCGAGCCAATTGGCGATGTTCGTGACGGCACCAGCCCGTACCTGTGCCGCCTCAGCAGAAAATTTTTCTTTTTTCCCTTCTTTTCTTCTGCTTTGCTTCTTCTCCTTGGGCTGATGATTTCTTATTAGTCTCTGCCTTCTTGCCCCTCTGGGCGAGGTTTGTAATGCAAAAATGAGCCCTACGAAACAAAGGCGGGCCCCAGGGAATCCCGGAATAGGGCATCTATAGAGTACAGTAAAAGCGTGCCGTTTCGTGCCTTGAAGCTTGCGATGCTAGTTCAAGGGGCACAGGAACGTGAACGACGCAAGTAGTCAAGTGTGGTGGAAATGCACACCCAAGCAGCTGAAAGCCACGGGCTCCAGCTTGCAAACTTTTTCTCTTCCTTCCCTTTGTTGAGGATGACTCCTTTTTTTAGAATTTTTTCCTCATTCGTAGGCCACGTTCAGCGCACAATACGAAGACAGGCTACTGCAAGCCCGACCTCGATTCACGGAGGGTACATGCGGCTACTCGGTGGCTACAAGGCCCTTAGTGTTTCCCATCTGAGGTTGGCATGACTGGTGCCAGCCACGTATTCAAGCTTCAAGCCCAGCCCAGCTGCGCGCAGTTCCGGCATTGGCATCGGGACCCACCGAGAGGGAACTGAGACAGCCATCCTGGATCGACGTCAGGCAAGCCAGGGCGGATCATGCTGAGCTCTGGGTGTCGTCCCGTTTTGGCAGGGCGACGCTGCTGCGTGTGCGTATAAGTCGAGGCCCGGGCCCCTCACCTCCCGGCTGGACCTGTCTTTGCTGCTCCCCTTTGAACTGTCCAGTGGTCTGACTGTAGACTATAATAATCTGCCTCGATCCGAGTCTCATTCTTCTTCTCTTCTCTATATTACACAACTGCCGTTGCTGGTGTTGCTGCTTACCGCCGTGACTGGGCACTTGAAACACCAAACGAAAAGCCATCAACACGCCGGATTCTGCAAAAAGCCTGCCGATCCGCCACAACACACACGCATCGTTGAGGCATACAATGCGCCGAAGCTCCTCGTCTTCATCAATCAGCTCTCAGTGGTCCACCTTCAGCGACGACCTTGAAATCGGCCAGCTCACGTCCATCATCCCCGTCAATACCACCACAACCGCGGCCACCACAATCACCACGGCTACTGCCACAAGCGCCAGCAACTCGTCCATCATCTCTGTTTCATCTGCTGCTGCTTCCGTCACAGCAGCTTCTGCCGAGGATATGAATATGCATATGAACATGAACATGAACATGCACGACAGTCATCCCCCTTCCGCGTACGAGCGGAGCCGCCAGGGGAGCACGAGCTCCATGCGCAGCTGCGGCGGAATGAGCCCCGATGCAACCAAAGAGCTGTGGAAGACCATGTTGGAGCTGCAGGAGCGATATGGATGCTACACTTCAGCGAGGATGGATTTGGCTGTTACAGCTGGAGATATTGCTCTCTCTTTAATGCGTAAGTTATCACAGCTGCTACTTTAGCGGTCAAATTTGAAGATTTAGTTGCTAACATTTGAAATTTACAGCAAATCCGTTTATCCTCGACACTCTCAACGACTCTGTGGTCGATCTGCCCGATGAGGGCTGGGAGATGCTCAATCGCTGCCTCCAACAAAGACATTAAATTATTCTCTATTTGATCCGAAACACACACACCGCAAATTGTCATCACCTCAGAGCCGGATTTCGTCTAATCAAATGGGTCGCGGTGGATGAGGACGACACGACGGGGTATTCTTTCTTGTTCTTGTTTAAACAAGAGGCGTTTGGGATGGATAAAATACTACTGGACGAAGCGCTGGGCCATTTGAATTTTCTTCTCATTCTTATCATCTCTCCTTTTTTTTTTTTTTTTTCTTTTCTTTTTTTTTTTGTACATATTAAGATTTCAAGATACCCTGTCCTCATTTACATACAACATGTACTGCAGCTCAGATTGAAGCCTCTGCGCTTACATAGCTCGCAAATTACATTCTTGCTTCTACTTTTTACAATACAACCATATTAGATGGAAAAAAAAATCACAAATTAAATTAAAAACACGCGTGGTCGTAATCAGGTGATGATGTATCCGATGCTAATGTTACAATGCATGCCTACGTATGTGTGTTACATTTGGCCAAGTCAAGTCATGCCCATCGCATCACAGCGTTTCATTCAAAAGTGGATGCGCCGTAAAGCCCATTGCCCTAGTCTGGAACTTCATGCTCTCCAGCACTTTCGCCTTGACCTCTTCATCCTCAATGTCGATGCCCTCGAAGATGCTGTGCGTGGCCCTGAAGTCGTAGTTCTTGAGGATCCCCCACATCCGGTGAATCACATCCGCGCTCAGCGGGATGAAGTTTGGGATGCTCCACAGGAACGAAAATGAGGTCAGACCGGGAGGCTTCTCTCGCTTGGCTCCCAGGGCGTCGATATCCCATTTGCCCAAGCCTGCTGCAGTTGTCATGAGTGTGTCTGCGATGAAGAGCCGCCCGTCAAACAGTAGCACCGAGGAGCCCGGGAAATGTCCGCCCAGCTTGATGGCCTTGACGCCAGGTAAGATGTCTGTCTCGGTTTCGGTGAGAGCCTTACGATGTGCTGACGGTGTTGTCGTCCAGCGCAGATCTTCAGATGAAATGTACACTGGACACTGAAACGCTCTCGCCCACTGTATATGCGAGCTATAGAAATGAGGATGGCTGACGACAATGGCCTTGATCCCTCCCAGCTCCTTCACCTTGTCTATCGTCTCGGTGTCTATATACGAGATGCAGTCCCAGAGAACGTTCCCCTCCGGTGTGCGAATCAGCATGGCGCGCTGGCCAATGGCGAATTTCGGACACGTATGGATGGAAATGATGCGCTCATCATGCTCATACGGCTTGAACTCATTGTGATGATCCGAATCCCGAAGCTCCGCCATGGTCGTAAAGGATTGGCCCGATGGGGGAACATATTGGCGAGGATCGTCACAGACGTGGCACGTCTTGACGGCGGAGCGATCAGCGGTTGGGAATTGCGTGCCGCAGGTATGGCAGATGAGCCACGAAGACGACTCAGCAGCATTATAGGGCTCGGGAGCGAAATCCATGGTGGTGAAGTTGTGTTGGTGATGGTTTATAGTGAAGCTAGTGGGATGCTTCGGATGGCTCTGGAGCTGCTGTTGCTCCAAGGGCGCGCGGGGTTGGAGAATAGACTTTGCCGGGCTGGAGAGGATTTTGGGCCGCTGCTATCCTTGGATCTGGGATTTGGGGATTGGAGTCGGGTTTATTACGCATTGTAATAAGCTTTGGGGTTTGTTGATGTTTACCGCGAGCTGAGACGATATGCATATAGCGGGTGATGTTGCCGCATAGCTCGTGTTGTTGCAGTCCAAGCACGGCTCTCTCAACGCTGCCAGTGTCTCAACGGCGAATTCATGAGCGTCTCCGTAGTAATGAATGACCCAGCTTGTCAACTGCCCATGAATCGAGTAAAGGTTCATGTTATTCTCATCGCGGAATATCGCCATTACTGACGTCATCGACGGAGGCGGCAGGTTCGCTGCTCTCGGATGTTGCGAGCATTTCCGAGGTATGAGAAACGCCAAAGAGATGCAGGCCTAGACAATGCGAGATGCGTAAGAATGCACAAAGGGGGTATAGAAGAGAAAAGATTATCTTGGCTATCGCAGATCGCCCAAGGCTATGTGACGGGAATGCGAATCCCAGCTTCAGCGGTAGCGGCGCATAAGCGTTCATGTGAGATTATTTCGTCCGTCATTATCACCTGAATTGAAGAAGCCATGGTGAAGACTCATATCTAGTCAGACCAGATTTTGAAGGGGATCAGAAAGTCGGGCATTTGTACATGTACCTGGCCATCCAAAATGGATGTAATTTTCGGAACTCATATCGCCATGTCTTGAACTATGGCAACAACGGAGCAAAGCGCACGTTAAACTGCAGCAAGGTAGTTACATGTTTGCATTATTAGTTGCTGATGCATTAAATCCGCAAAGTCCCTAAATTCAGTCTTATATCATAAAATTAAATAGAGGCTCCGTTTCTAGCTGTTCTACAAGTCGAATGGCTAGCTGGTGACTTGTGCCGACAAAATCGTTCGTCCGCGGACCAAATTATCGGCTTTCATCTCTACGCGCAACGCCGTAGACTCCAAGGGCCATCTATAACACAGGACTCTGACGGACAATCCGTCCGTACTGTATCACGTCTCAATCTGATACTTGGTCTCATTAAGGGCGTAAACAGACATCAAGTAACATAGGTCGCTACATGGAATGTCACGAATATAAAATGAAGCCTCTTCTCGCGACATCAAACCGCCTCACCATCTCCAATTAGCATTGCATTTGCGTCTGCAGCCAGCGCACACAATCTTTAAGCTCTACATTAGACGTCTTTTCGAATTACAATGCCTCAAACAGTCTGGCTCGTCACCGGCACCACTTCCGGCATAGGCGCCGCTTTGGTAGACCACATCATCTCTCGCGGGGACAAGATTATTGCCTCTGGAAAAAACGTCGAACAAAAGCTCGGCCACCTCAAGTCCGACAATGTTGCCCTCCTAGAGCTCGACGTCGGGGCTGGAAAGGCCATTGTGGAGGCGCAGGTGAAGAAGGCGTGGGAGATATTCGGCCACATTGATGTTTTGATCAATAATGCTGGTATATCCGGGTTCAAGACTGCTGAAGATGCCGAGTAAGTGCTTGTTTTCCAAGTATGGACTTTAACTACACCATGTCACTGTTCTAAATAAAATGCCTACAAAGCGACAACTTTGTCAACCACCTCTTCCAGGTCAACGTCTTTGGCCAGCTACACGCATCTCAGGCCATCCTACCGCTCTTCCGCGCTCAAGGCCACGGCACCATCTCATTCACTTCTTCAGGCTGTGCTTGGGCGGGCCTCCCTTTTCTGGGCCACTATTGCATGACGAAAGCTGCCCTGAGCTCATTCGCCGAGAGCTTGCACGGAGAAGTCTCTCATTTGGGCATCAACTGCGTTGCATTCGACATTGGCGGCTTTCCAACTCGTCTGGCACAGCCCCGCGAGGAAGACAATAATGCTGCTCCTGTGGAAGTAGACTCTAGCTCTGCTCTTGCATCAGCTGTATCTGAGCCGTATGCAGACATCTTTGGACAATATATGGGACTCTTCGTTCCGGATCATTCGTGGGTTACTCCCGGCGATCCTAGCAAAGCAGCCTCTGCAATGGTGGACGTTATCCAGCGGCAGGGTATAGCAGCGGGCCGTTCTTGGGCGACACGCGTTGTCCTGGGATCAGACTGCTTGACTTATGCAATGAAGAGACGAGGGGAAGAACTTCAGCTTCTGGAGAAATGGCAAGACGTCAGCGTTAGTACTGATGCGAACAAGTTTGTCCTCAAGCCAGAGTACGAAAAGTATATCGTTGTTACCGGAGTAGAAGAGTAACTCAAGAAGTTTGCTAGGCAAAGAATAGCCATAAACAGTTTTAACAACGTAGTATAATTGTTCAAAATTCAGGATAATGTACATGTTCTATTTGCTTTTACATCATAATGTGCTCGGTCAACTTCACTCGGCCGTCGCAGCCTTGATCTCCTCCTCAAATCCCCTCTCCCAGTCAGCCTCTCCCTTCACCGGCTTCCAACCTAACACCTCTGTCGCCAGCACCGCATTGGTAACAGATCTCGAGGCAAATCCCAACTCCAAGAACTGGTAGTTTCCGTTCGGAGTATCGTCTGTAATTTCCTGCAGCCCAATCGGTCGTGCCTTGTCCTCCTTGAGCACTCCGGCAGCAAATCCCGCCTTGGCGAGTCCGTCAGAAAGATCCTTCCACAGATGGCGTCCGTTGCCAGCAAAGTAAATGCCCTTTCTACCAAAGGGAATGTTCTCTCCTGCAAAGAGCTTCTCCAGCACGAGTTCATACACCTTGGCCGTGTCGTCGATATGAGCGTGGTCCCATACTCCTGCGCCTTCACCAATGTACTCGGCGTATCCCTTCTTGACTGCTCTTCGAGCTAGGAAGGGGACCTGAATGGAACGCTTGTTGAATGCTCCTGTGCCGTTGCCGTAGATGGTGGGTGACATGATGATATAAGTCGGTACGTTGAATTCCTCGCCTGCTTGGACAGTGGCCACATCGCCAGTACGCTGAGGATAAGGATCGTGAGCCTCGCGCTTCAGCTCGTATTCGTGGATGTCCTGAGTCTTGTCGTTGAACTCAAAGGGGGCATCTTCTTGCGTGTAGACTTTGCTAACGGGGCGGTTACCGATGCTCGAGGTGCCGGATGTCTATACAAACAGAGATTAGTATACAGTTTATGAAGAAGCAGATATTAGAAACACTTACGTGAATGAACCAGACTGGTTCGCCGGTGGTCTTTTTCCTCTCCGCCAGCCCTTCAACCAAAGCCCTCGCGCCAATCGCCCTGGCAGCGCTGGCAGTGTTGATGATGATGTCATGTTCGCTCGCCGCCTTCTTCAAAAGCTCTATATCGTCGTCAAGACTCTTAAAGATGATTGGTGTCATGCCTTGAGACTTGTAGTACTCTGCATGCTCGGGCTTGCGGACGAGGACGGAGTAGGAAAGGTTTTTGATGTCGGCATGAGTTGAATTTTGGAGAAGAGTGAGAACAGAGCCACCACTGTAATGCCTTGTTAGTATTGCTCGTCATGTTATCTATTTGTTGATGGGTTGTCAAAACTTACATGTAGCCTGTTGCGCCGGTGAAGAGGACCTTCTTGGGAGCCATTGTTGCGTATGTGTTGATTATTATCAAGATGTGATTAAAATATCGTCAACTGCTTCCAATTGCTTGTATTGATAGCACGAAACGAATTCTTTTTCACGGTTCCATGACCCCCTATTTATACAAGAAGCTACACAGCGTAAAACTCCAGTTAACAACGAATCTCTAGTCTGCAACACCTCGCCCAATTATTAATTCATCATCTCAGTTATGACCTCAACTTGACTTCTGCATCCACTACCCACCGCCCTACTCCTTAAGCTTAGTCGCTAGTTGCACATAACTAACCAACATCACAGCCAAAGGGCGGACAAACCTGCCATACCACTGCCCTCCTGGTGGAGCAAGCCACCTCGATTGACTTTTGACGGGATCCACCGCAACTGACGGGAGCGGACAGGCCAATCCCAATCGAGGCCCGCTGATGCTGAGTAATGGCGTCAATGAGACGTCTTGGACGCGGCCAAAGTTGCTTCTTCAACTTACAGCTTGTAAGTAACCCTGTACTTGCCGATTTAGAACCGATTCCGCTTTTCTTTCGGGCACTTTGAGTTGCTGCGCCCGACTTGATCGGATACAAGAAAGAGTAGATGTTGAGATTAATTAATAATATCGCAACAATTACAAATTCTGTCACAGAATAAAGAAATAGAAAAAAAAGATCATAGGGGATAATACGGAAATGACTAGAAACATGGATGTTGAAGTCATAGTGATTGATCTTACAGCTTATCTTCTAGCCCACATATATGGTACAGGTATACACCATGCATCAGTATTTACAACTCACGTTATCTTCCTAGTTATTATACTCGGATGAATAGTATGAAATAATAAATAGTAGAAGCGCAGCCCCAGAGGTGTGCTGATTCATATACATTTCTATTTTTACAGTCATTAACGAAATGGCCAAGGCCACACGACATTATTCATCAACATGCCTCCCACATCTGATGACCCATAGCAATCAGACGGTTAAACAGCTCGTCGCGAACCATGACGGCCGTCAAATGATACTCTTTTCCGTCCTTTGTTCTCACAACTAGTCCGTCCACGACTTCTCTCTGTGTCGCCCATCCGACCACAATCTTGCTCTTCCACCCCAAGCCTCCAACCTTCTTCAGCTGGCGAATGTCCTCAATGGCAACTGTCCACGCCGGGCTGACGTCTTCATGCTTGGGGGTCCAACTCAGCGCAGGGCTTGTAGCCGTTGCGGTGATGTAGGCATGGCCCTTTTTGCCGCCGCATCGAGCGGGGAAGCAGACTGGGCCAGATGGAGGGTCGTCAACTGTTCGTTTATTCACGACGCCCAGGCGATTCCGTGCCTGGGCAGCGCCAACGGCGGCTTTGGCTTTGTCGGCGGTAAGAGCCGTTTCAACGCCTCCCTTTGCAGTGCCTTTGAGCAGGTTGATAATCCGATGAGACCGTTTGGGCTTTCGTTGTTGGCTGTCGTCTTTGACTTCGTTTGCGTGATCCAAGTCGGGATGCAGCGCTTGTCTCGCTTCGGCGTCTGTGACACCTATTTCCCGGTTTATCATTAGCATGCTATTCAGCATAGAATACGCCACACAGAGATGAATTCATACCCAAGTTACCGACCTGGTCCGCAGCTTCTGAATCAATCCTGATCGGGGGCGGCAAATCGGAAGTCGGTGGTGGCGGGATTGGCGCCTTGTTCCTCTCGCCAATGCGCAGTAAGGTGACGGCAAGCTGGGCATTAGTCGGTATGCCTCGTAGAATTGTGTTCCGCAGCTCGATGAATTTTTGCCATCGTGGATATGTGCGATTGGCGAACTGCAGCGCTGGCTGAATGATGGGGTCGCCAAAAAAGAGAAACCCGACGCCAAATGCGATGCCTTTTAGCAGCATGTATGAGGACACGAAGAAGGACAGTAGCAACGGAGGCAAGAGACACGCAGCCAATGTCAATCTAGGTCGCTCGACGGGGAACGGAGGCGTAGGGCTGAGGGCGTTGCCAAACCGCTCCCAGGTATCAACGACTTCCGAAAGCATGTGCATGATGGGCCCCACGTTGGTCCAGACAATGTTGGAAACAGGCTTCTTTGTCCTGTCATGCTTTGCACTGACATCTTGTCCATCAGCAGAGTCCTTGGCGGCGGATACGTCCGAAGTGATGTTTGTAGGATCTGGAGCGGTGTTATCGTCGTGGGGATCGCCTTGAGGATGCTTTCCCGCACTCGTGCCGATGATTACCTATATTCACAGCACACCAAAAGTCAGCTACCATTTCTGTCACTGTACGGGCTGGAACTGATACAGAAAGGGGTCGCTTACACCAGCACATACTGATGCAACACTGTTGACGAAGCTGTGTGCCTCCTGTTCGACGCCTTCGCCTTCGTGCTTTTCAGGAGCGCCCGTGAGGGAGCTATCAGACGCGAGGACTCCCGACGGCGGTTTCTGAACGCCCCCTGTCTTGGAGTCGACAATTGCCGGCGGTACAGGAGGGAAGCAGATGGCTCGGGCCGGCGGATAGGCGACCAAGCACATGAGGAACGCGATTTCAACGGGCACCAGCAGATCAAGCAGCCACGCAACGCTGTAGACTGCCAGAAACACTGCCGTTCTCTCTGCTTCTCTCCACGACCGCAGGCGTGCAATGTGCTTCCAGAGACATATCATAGACACAGCGATCGTCATGTACAGGCGCTCCAGTTGCGCGCGCAGCTTCTCCGGAGAAAACACATTGTCCTCTGCAATGTTCATGTCCAGATCGGCCAGCGGAGCTTTCTCGATGCTCCTCACCTCAAAGACTTGCTTGTTGAATCGTCGTATCAACACCCACAGCTCTTCGTTCCTCATGCCGCCAACCACCGGCTGCGGAACATGATGCGGCTCCTTGTTCCATCCTATATTCTTCACCTCGATCTCATCGTGCTCGGTCTGGCTGGCGCCCTTGTTTTCGGCATCAGCTTGGATGCTTTCTTCGGCAAGGGCATGGCTGGCGGTTGGTACTTGTTCTTCGTAGCTTTCAACGATTTCGGGCTCGCTGCTCAGGGCCGAGATGGATGAGGCGCTATTCTGGTCAAACGCCGCCATTGCAGACTGTATTGCATGTATAGCTCATGAATCCGTGTTAGAGGCCGTCACCATTGATGACAACTGCAGAAGACACACATGAACAAGCTCTGGGCAGCATCCCTCGTCTTGTATCTGCATATTAGCTCGATAGTTGCGCCCAGATCCGCAACTTGCCGCCGACGTCAGATCTTCAGATCTCGTCTATCGCCAGTTGGTTGCTATCTTGTTTCCGTTGACGTCACTGAGGCTATGTGGGACTGGAGCTGGTCATTGATCTGCGAGCAAGAAATCGAGGCGCATGCCTTGATGTTGAGCACAGCGTGTATACTAGGTATTGCACGCGCTGTTGTTACTGCTGAATATTCCAATGCTGTTTGTTGTTGATCATCTTTGATAGATTGTTGCGTCGCTGTCTATTTCTTCTACTGTACTGCTTCTCATTCTGGCATCTACACTCTATCCTGCGTGTTGTTGCTGTTAGGCGGTCTTTAGCGGGCGCTTCACAAAGGCGCGTCACAAGGGCGCACGGTGCGGCTCATTCCGTGAATCAAAATCTCTCAAAAATAGATGCCGAATGACTAGCTATTTGATTAGATTTAGAATTCTTGTTGCTCAGTAATGGATCCCTTCCGAGTCAGCTCACATTCCAACTTTTTGGCGAGAACGGCTATTGGTATGTGAAAGCGCCTAGCATCATACCTGTAGCCGCTAAGCGCTTTTTCATGCCTGACGACACGAAGATGGAATCAATACAGTGAATTGGCCGCCAAATCTCATCATCTTTTCATCGATTGTTTAAGAGCAAGTGAATAAGACTTTGCGCCTGCCACTCTCCTATCTACCTACCTGTGTTTTGCATAGATGTAGTCGAGGCGTGGGGACGCCAATCTCAGAGGACAGACAGCCGCAGAAGAGTAGATCAAGACCCAGCGTACTGCCTCGCAAATCCGACTTTGTACCAGGCCAATGTATCTCATATACTATTCTCCAGAGGCAGGAAAGGATAAATTTAGTACCTGAAATCCTACAATAGAAGTCCCGCAGCCCAGGTCGGTTTTGCGATCTGACCTTGCAAATTCAACTTTGGCTGTGGTAAGCAACTATGTGACTTTTTGGTAAGTAAACACAGGAAGTGGCTATGAAATAGCAACAAGAAGTACCTATGATCCTATGAGGCCCGCAACAAGAGTCGAGTTTGCGGTTTGACCTCGTAGACATGACTTTAGCTGTAGATATTGGTAAGCAGTTATGTATCTTTTTGGTAAATAAACACAGGAAACGCTCATGAAAAAGCAACAAAAAGTACCTGTAATCCTGTAAGACCCACATCCAAAGTCGAGTCGCGATTTGACCCCGCGAACTCGACTTTGACCGTAGACCCCTCGCCGGCCGAGTAGGATCTTAGGTAGCAGTAGGTAGGGAACGCTTTGCCACTATAGGTAGAGCAGTATATCACACTGGATGTAAATAATTTCGTATTCATTTTCTTTTTTTGGTGGCGAAGGAACGCGGTATTCTCTCGGAGCATCTGCTCCTGATACGTAGGGTTTGAGCAATTGGTCTACAAAAAAGACTGGGGATAGAGAAGTCGTCAGCACATAAATATACATCATACACACATACTAGCAGTATTGACATCTATAGTAGTAGTGCCCTTATTATTAGCCACTACGTGTATATTCATTTCGCGTTTGCAATTCTTTTGCACACCGCTTTGATAGCTCCCACTCTCCCCTCGCAACAGGTGTGGTGGATCGCCTTAAGACATGGTCAGGGTCGCAGCTTCATTGACTCGCCCTGCGTTAAACTTAGAGAACTTCGGTGTAAGCCGGCATGATGCTCCTCCAGCCATAGACGTAATCACGTAGCTCATGATTATACCTATTTCTTTGCTTTTTTCTCTTAGCTCATATGATTGTGGTCACGATACAATGGCCTATTCCGCCGCAGCCAAAGCCGACGTTCGGCCGCAGCTCTACGCATCTAGACTTCCTAATCACGACGGGACAGTGATTACATGTACTTAGCGGGCTCGCGTCAATCACAGGCACAGTTGCAAGGCCAAAATCCAACGCTTCTTAAGTAGATAATCATTCGTAAATCAATCTGGGATTACCCGCGTGGGAACGGCCCCGTTAGATCCGATCGGTCAACTTGATCTGTGAGATCATCGATATATCTGACTGCTCGTATTTCCAGACGAGCTAACAGGGCCGGAAAATCGGTTTAAGTGAAACAGGGTATCGCGCAAGTGGAGCGACCTGAGGGGAAGAAAGAATCAAGGCTCCGAGGTCACAGTTTGCTATAATCGCTTAACTCTGAGATAGAGTCTGGTACTTCAGCAATGCCCAATAATAATACGTTGTATAAGTACCTCATTGCGAAAATAGTTAATGCTTTGGCGGGCTACTAGCCACTGCACAAAGGGGCTCCTGCACCTAGTCGAGGCATCTAAGACATATCTATGGAAGAATATGGAAATCGAAAGAAGAATGAAGCTGTTAGCTTTGTAGAGAAAGACAATCTGCCTTGGAGCTATTCTCAATGAGTCAATAATTGTGAGCACAGCTCCAACGCGCGTAGGGCTAGATCTGGACAAGAGTGAGGCCCGGAATTGCTACCACACTAGGCCACAATCTTGTAAGTAGGAGCGTTGACGGGTGAAGCTACCTGTTTACTGACTATTCAATCATCTTGAGTATTGGATTGCAATTTTCCTTTCTGCCAGAGTTCGCATCGTTTCTGTTTCTATGTAATGCACGCTTACGGTGCGGCTTAGGCGTCAAGTAACACGGGAGTTGGGCAGCAGAGCCGTTTAAGCGACAATACAAAGAAAAAGCAGCAAGATGCCTATGATGCTATGGCGGACTAGCGAAGGGCGTCAATTGTCTTGCAATTTCCATAAGACAATAATTTAGATAGCGCAATTTAATGGATCGTAACGAGATGCGTATGCCAACTCTATGATAGTCAAGCCGGAAGCTTTCCGCGACATCCATCGTACTGAGGGGTAATGGCCAGCAATACAGTATATTCATGTAGAAAGATCGCTGAGTGCATGTAAGATGCTCTTATCGATAGTTTGATTTGCTCGAAACCGTTGCAACTGTTGACCATATGCCGAGCTCTAGTTCGCAAGACCAACGATATATTCTTGATAAGGGCTGCTATTGGCACTTTGAATTATACCTCTCTCTACTGCGCCTCACGTATTTGCTCAAGACATTACAATACAGTACAGTATGGGTGTCTTGCAGCTGCAAGTTATTGGTCCCTTTTGAACTAGTTTGTCTGTCGGTGTAGGTCGGTCTGCTCCACAAAGACGACCAAGGAGCTTTTTGAAACATGAAAGTCATGGATGCTCAGCTCTTGGGAGAGATAAATTCATTTTTTCACTGAAAAATAGGTCATTCCCGACTTTCTTTTCTTTTTTGTGGGATTTTTGCATTGGGTTCTCAGACATGCGTTGCTTAGACCAGTCACAGCTCTTCTCGACAAGCGGCGTACGCCTGTCGTCGAGAGAGTCCACTTTATGGGCGGCGTACGCCGCTCGTCGAGAAATGCAATTCATTCGATTCTCGACGGGCAGCGTGAAATGTGAGACAACCAGAAAAAAAGCTTTTTCAGGGACTATTCCCAGGGTTGACTATGCTGGTGACTCGTAGATTTTTGGCCAGTATGGTGTGGAGCGAGTGTGTAATGCCGTGTAATGTAAGATGGAGAATCAAAATCAAGAATTTTTCCCATTCAGTAGAGAGCCTGAGGTGCAGAGGGAATTCAGGCACTATCTCGAGAAAAACACGAACAAGAAGCACATATCCGCAGAGAGGAAGCACAGTCTTATACGATGGCTTTCTGACACCGATGCCAAGCCCCAGTCTCAGAGTGACTACTCCCTACGAAACTACGCGTTCAAGACTTATAAATGGGACGATGACACGAATATCCTTTGGGGGATCGGGAAGAGCGAGAAGCCCGAAAAGCCTGCCAAGAATGGAAAGGGCAAGAAGAGTTGGGTGAGTGGCAAGAGAAAAGCCAACAGGAGTGCAAAGTGCCAGGATAGGGTGGTTGTCACTGAAGATGAGATCTTGAATGTGGTGGAACAAATCCACATGTCCAATGATCATGGAGGGTGGGATGCCACCTGGGACGAGGTCAGCAGCAAATATTGTGGGATCGTGAGATCAGATGTCATCTTCCTCCTGAAGAGGTGTTACATCTGCACCATAAAGCCTCGCAAACAATCCAGGAGGAATGCGACCCCTGATGAGTCCCCTGCTTCAAGCCCATCTCGCGCAGGGCCGTCCTCTGAACAGCAAACTTCTCAGGGATCACTACAATTCTATGGGCAGCAAGCCCCCGAGCAGCAAGATTTCGATCAAATCCTCGACCAGCACTCCCAGGAAACAATCGACTATAATTTCGGGAATGATTTTGGGGCCGGCAGCTTCCAAACCAATAGCTTCCAAACAGATAGCTTCCCATATGGTAGCTTTGAGGGCTTTAATCAGCTCTGGAATGAAGAGATACCAGATGTCGGCCAAATACCAGAATTCGGCCAAATACCAGAATTCGGCCAAATACCAGATATCAACCATCTAGATGTCGTCCATCCAGATGTCGTCCATCCAGATGTCGTCCATCCAAACTTCAGCCATCCAAACTCTGGCCATCCAGATGTCGACATGGCCAACATGGACAATATAGATCCTGCTTTGCTCAGCAACGACTTCCAAAACATGAGCTTCTCGGACTTCACGTATACCTACCCATTTCCTGAAGAGGCTTCGGGCAGCGACACTTACCCCTACAATCTCGATTTCATGTCAGACTCTGTGTAACCGACCTCAGAGCTGCCCGCATACGTGAAGGGGGGGTTACCAGGGTGAACATGGTGTTGTGAAGGGTATTGGGCATTTTGGGGCGTTTGGGCCAGGCTTTGGCTTCATGGAGCATCTGATAAGTCAACACATCCATATCCCAGAATTGTTTTCTGGTTGGCATTGGCAAGGGGTGGAAAAAGGGCTGCGACTGTTTTTGTGCTTGTTTTGCGCTTTTGAGTGTTTTTGTTTGTTTTGAGTGTTTTTGTGTGTCTTTGTGTGTGTTTTTGATTTGAGTGTTAGCATAACTAGGATTACCAGACTGCCAGATTGTTATTGAATTGGACTTTGTTTTTCATTATGATACTCTCGTGCTTGCCGTTTGTGATGGACTTATTGTTTTCCTTTGGTTCAGGACTGATACTGAGACTGTGCCAGGGTTTTCCTCGTCAGTTCTTGCCATCTTAGCTTTACAAATGGGCGACGTAATCTACAAACACTCGATATTCACTCGGCGTGATGCATGATGCTATGCTATCCACGAGCTAAGAGCCAAGGGTTTGTAGAAAATTATGATTGAAAGGCAAGAAGTAAAAGATGATGGGAAAAGATCAAGAAAGAAGAGAGCTCGGGATCGTTGATGGAATAAATAGTCCGGTGACTACAATCTAAAGTGGCGGTGTCATTGGGCAACTTTACGACGGGCGTACGCCCGTCGTCAAGTGAGTCAGTAGTCTGCCACTCCCTCGGGTTATTGTGAAAAGAGGATAGTTGGAATGCAATAGCAACAAAGGGTGGAGTGAGCAGGGGTAATATTAAGGCATGGGTGGAAGATATCAAAAGCGGATGCTGAAGAAAGACGGCCCACGATGATCTTTCTGACAGAGAAGCGAGACCTTTCATATCCCTCTCGTGATTCTTTCCCACCCCCTGAGCCATGTTTACAAAACGGGAAATTTACTCCGGCCAGCATGACAAGTAGTATTGGTGTCGCTCTTTTGATGTTATTGGTGAGGACTGGGAATAGTTACACAAGTCCTTGGCTGTGTGTAACTTGACATCTCACAAGGACGTTTCCTTATTTGACTGAGAGGGTGGGCCGTCAGTCACCCCTTCACGGAATTGACGGAAAGGAAATACGAAACCAGGCCATTATTTACGGACGCTTCTGGAAACAGTTACTGCTGTTTCTATTTGTGTCTGTTACGTTATCCAGAGATGACAAAGGCTGGTTGACAGCTCTATACTCAAGAATTTCCGTTCAGAGGATTTAAGTGAAATAACCGGGGTGTTAGAGAGCTTAAAGAGCGCTCATTGTGCCATATGCATATGATGTGATTCCAAAGGTCAATCTTTGGTCTTAGATATAATGTTAAGAGCATGTTGTAGAAATGCTTTGGTTTCTATTGGTCTAAAGTTGTGTTGCTGGTATTATGTCAACCAACCAGAGCCGAGTCTGAGACAACAGCATATTAGTACACATTTCCATTTCATGTGAAAACCATCATTAGCCCAAGTAAAAAGTCCCCACTAGCTGACCAAGTATGCATCTAGCACTTTGCAGATGTTTAACGTTTCCCTTCATGCTCTTACCAGAGATTCGAGTTTATCTCTCTTGTCATTTTGACATGAACACATGATTCGTTCCAACAACTAGCTTATCATCTAAAACCGGTCTTGACATATGTGCTGAGCACCGACTGTGACCTTGACCAGTCAATTAGTAGGTACTTGTAAACCACTAGGTAGTATTATCTAGGTAGGGAAAGTATACAGCACCCTAGCGATACCTTGACAAAGCAGTCAGTCCACATATGAAAATACATAACTACCAAATACATTTAAAATTAGCATCATTAGCATCAGTATTCCACGCTTTCAGTAGTCCACGCTATAGCTAGGGCGTTGGATAACAGGGTTGGGATGCTGGATAACTCTTATTTTCAGTTAATTTTATTCTACGTTAAATCAGAACAATTGTGAGAGGGGAGACGAACTACTCCAAGAGAACGCGTTTTGATTCCCCTTAGTGACTTGAATAAAAGTGTGTATCGTTTCGCATTTTAACTTTTTATATTATAGACACATGCTCTTAAAATGTCGCACTCAACTTAGTAGCTCGTGAAAACGTGAACACTTAAATTTGTTGTACTATCTATCGAGTTGCTCTTACTAAGGACATATTTCTGCGTTGCTTCGACTGCTGCATTATACCTTATCTGGTACTTCTAGCTTGTACAGACACTTAGGTATGTTTGGCATCTCTGATCCGTGTCCCGATAAGTTGAAGTAACTCCCGGTCTAGCGGCATTCTGACAGCATTTTCAACGCAGCGGGATACCCTCTCTTCAATATGAACATGCGGCTTCACTCTGGGCCTACATGCAGCCCATCTTGGATAATTAAAACTGCTTACTGTTTGTTGGAAAAAATCCCAAGGGAGTTTGTCCGACTGAGCCAACATGTTCTCTGCAAAGAACCCATTAATGGCGATATTTGCGATGAGTGCCCCCACTGCTGCTGATTTGCAGTGAAAACAGATACATCATCGCCTATCAGCTCGTTAATAAGCGTCTGAAGGTCATTTGCGGCGCTCCGTAGCATGGCGAGTCGACGTTGGCTCATTGCTTCTACACTTTGTCAATTTTAACCTGGAGAATTGTCTTGAGTGACTTCTTACTTAGAACTGAGAGTGGGATCGGCAGCCCAAAAGACGAGGAAAGCTCGGGAGACTTCATAAGCGCCTTTACGATTGCCTATATGAATAGGTTTTGGAAGCCAAAAACCCAGGAAACAAAAATGTTGCGCGCACAATAAATGCCGACTTTGTTGACGTCTTCATAGTCAGGATCATCATATGCAATGAGTTCTACAACCCAAATTTTAGCAAAATGGTGGACTGAAGCTCGACAATTTAAATTGTCAACGATAACCGTTATATCGGATAACATCTTTAGAGATACTTTGTCGGGAATTTCCTTGAAATGCGCATGAATGATGTTCATGACAATCTTGAAAGCTTCTGGATCGAATATGTGATCAAACTTCCAGTGGCGGAGACCATCGGCATGTGGTACGGCCTCTATAAATGGCCCTTGCAACACCCGTTTTGCACGAGGAGAAGCTATTAAGAGTTGCTTCTGGGATACTTTAAAGTCATATCCCTTACCCGTTGAGCAGTAAGGTTTCTCAGGGGATGGGAGACGTATTAGCGTATCTCCATCTGGGTCGATGACGATGTATTCATAAGACATCGTTGCGGCGTTCGTTACTTTGGTGAAAATAGAAGTCTCAGGAAGGGTGAGAAGTTGAGAAAGAGAGTGAGAAGGGGAAATAAATGAAGAGAATGTAGAGGCAATGAAAGGATAATAAGAGAGGAGTGATGCCACCACGCCCGGCAGTCACCCGTTTGCAAGCGGCTTGCACTCTCACGTTCGGCTCCGTCAGCTGTGTCTTGTTGCCAATGGTTGATTCACATATTATTGCCTCTATAATTCTTGATACTTTACCTATAGCTACTTTGAACAGACACAGAGGTCATTCACTAAGATGGCTGAACTGCCATCTGTTTTTTTTTTTTTAATTTTTCCGAATTAGCGTTAACATGAGGCTAGTTAATGGAAAACATTATCCAGCACCACGGTACTATCATTCAACACTCCAGCCGTAGCTTAACAAGGCAGTCGGTGTATCGTAACACTGAATTACTCTCTATATATAAAGGGAAGTCACGTAGATGTCTGCTCGTTGAGTTTACATGCATCGGCCGCCAATTCTCACTATCTCAGACGTTAATTGCCTCAACCATTAGAGGAAGTAGTATTTACATACTGTGACTGCGTAACCTAAGTTTGAATCAAGCTTGCAAATTGTGGGAGGTATATCTGAAATGCGAAGCTGCTCGAAATCTGATGTAAAACAAATAGCACTGCATACGAATCCGCATTTTGCCCATAGTAGTAACTACCTAAGCGGAGGAATTAAAATACTTCCAAAATAACTTCCTACTATTCTTTCTTCACACCTTATCACAGTGCTCATTGTTTGAGTCCGGAGGAAAGAGGCCTCGATTATGGATCATTCACTGGGCCCTTCCATCTATCAACTCAACTTCATGTATGATCAACATCCAGGTCAAAGCTATTCCCCTCTCCAATACAAATTACTCACCAAGACTAGCGATAAACAAGTCACACAAACCCGTCTAATCCGCCAATTGTTCACTCTCCCCTCGGCGATATGCATTGCTCCCCTCCCATCAAACGAATTTCACCGACGCACTACCATTTCCGACGCATCTACCCGGACACCAGCCTGCGCCTGTACCGCCCTCCACGCAGTTGCTATCACTGCATATCCAATCGTGCATTCCTGAAGCGAAAAAAACGCCGCTGCGGTGAAGCCACAGTGAAGTTGTGGGAGCAGACTACCTGTCGTGTTACGAGCCAATTGGTCTAGGCAAGTATCGGACGATTTACTTTTGTCTTGATAGTATTGATGCCCCGTTCGTGTCGCCGTAGGGCAGACAGGAATGTATCGATACTCTGAAAGGTGTGACTGGTATCGTGCAAGCTTCTGTCGGTGTCTTTGACTTGGACTAGGCTAAATATACCGAGTTCTTATCAAGGCAGATGTACGAAATAGAGTGATTGCATCTAGCCATATACGCCTGAAATGCAGAAACTATATCACCCGCGCCCTTTCGTGCCAAGTCACTCTTGCAAAATCGCAGCCTCTTCATAGGTGCCATCTACAATGGTCATTCATTGCACTTACCAGCACAGTAAGCTTCACTGCCAATCAAACACATTTCACACGTATCATTTCAGATACACACAAAACACTCGACGCAAATAACATACGAGGTATGCCGCCGCCACGTGGCCATCCTCTGTCCTCCCGCCCACGCCGCGCCAGCGAATCGTCTTACACCTAGATACCAGCAGTCTCCATCCAAGTACATACCCGTATTAAATGAAAGAAGATGATGAGGAACGTTCAAAGGAACAGAAGAGTAGAGAAGAGTTAATGTATTGCCGGACAGCAACATTTGTGTAAATACATGTACAGAAGGGGGGTCGTATACACGAAACAACGCTGCGGCGGGCACCCGCTTCCGACGTGGTGCATCGACTCGCTAATCAAGTCGTTTGAGTTTCGATGTGCTCGATGTGAGTATTCTGTTTGTGTCTACATACAGCGTTACATTTGTATGCAATTGCATACAAGTACTATCGTGCGGAGCATACAAGTGGTCTCCGGTGAATGATAGGACACTGCCAGTGTACGCATATGCAACTTACAGCGCACAGCTCTCCAGAACACCGAGCAATCGCCGTCATTTGCTCGCCCTTCAAGCATCGAGCTCCAGCTTTTCGTTAAAGAGCCACGCGAGCCACATGTCCATCAGCCAAAGCGCTGTCATTGCATACTCCACATCTGCTTGTGGGTATAGCTTGTGGATGTAGACCGACAGTGAGCAACATCGACGAGACCGCGAAAATGATCTTCTATATCACATTCAGGCCAGCAGAAAAACTGAAAAGAAATATTATCATGGATAGATAACGGCCAAACCGGTATATAAAGACATTAGCAAAATCTCAAGACATCCATTCTTCCTACCGTTGACAATTTGCTATCAATCCACCACCGCTTACACGTATCCTCTCCACCGCCAGACTGGCCTTGGGCACACATCCCCATCGCCACATTGGGTACACATACCAAAACAACATCTACTCCATCAATCCCACAAAAAGAGTCATCCATCCTCATCTACGTAGCATCTCAATCCATCACCTACCCGAAACCATGGGATAAGGCTCCATCCATCGTATTGTCGGTCTATCCGCCCATCAAACACATGCTTGATTTCCCCGCAATGCGACAGTCTCACCGGCGGGCACCGGCGGGGACTCTCATACATCCTACCTAATATGCCACTTTAGTATGGGACGTACATGCAAGCGAAAAGACCTACGTCTTACTTACATACCGCATCGTCAGTTATCGCTCTACGCAAAAATAGCTGCCTGGCATTTACCTATATGTAGGTATAACCATGTAGGCCTACTTCATCGATAACACACAAATCCATCTCCATTCTCCGCAGAGTAAGCGAAAAACACCACGACTACCCATCTCCATCCGCTCATCCGCAACTCCCCTCTAAACCCCCAGCACACAAACCAAAATCTTCCCCGGACCAGCGAAATTTAAAATTCCAACCCAGTAAGCACCAACCAATCCAACAAACCAATGAATAAGGTAGGTAACATGCCTACCTACCTAGAACCACCAAGACTAAAAAAAATCCCGGTCCAAAAAAACTCTCATAACATCTCCACCACACACATACAAATACCTACCTACCTACCACAATCAAGCATAGGTAGGTAACGTACAACAAGTATCGCAACTTATAGCATCCAGCCACTGGACTGGTGCCATCACACTCAAGTATCGCACCAAAACGATTCGACGCAGCTAATCGAGCTTCTCACCAGCTACAACATCGGCTAGACTCATCACAGTGTAGTGTAGTGTACTGTAGCACCTCAGAGCTCATCGTAGCTCGTGCAGCTAAAGAGCTCCATCACATCATTCTCCACGACCAACCCCAGCTTTTTCCAGTCATACCTATCCATCCCATCCATCCCACCCAGCTTACTGTAGCGTGGCGTCGCATCGCATCGCATCGCATCACTGCTTGCTACCTCTACTTGCGCTGTCATTCACAAAATCACCAAGAGCATCCAAGTTGGTAGAAAATCCCACATCTCCTTTATATTCATAGTACAAGATGGATAATTATTTAAATAAAAAGAAAAAAAGCTATCGCTCGCTATCCAATGCCATTTTCTTTCCTTCTATGTCTTTCCTCATCAATTAGTCTCCTTTCTGTTTTCGGCCCCGTCTTTCAAAAAAATTCTTCAATGACATCTTTTTCTCAGTTGATGCATCATCTCTCTACTTTTTTCGTTGAAAACCAGTTTCTAGTGCTTTGCTCGTCATGCAAAATCTCCGACGGCTCCCAGCTTATCAAAGCTACTCAAGTAGTCTGACGTTATAGCGTGGCCATATGACTAGCTAGGACCAAAAGAGCTTCCCCCAAAAATCGGGGAAAGTAAAGTAGAGCAAAGCAAAGCATTGCAAAAAAAAAAAAAAAAAAGAAAGAAAAGAAAAAAATACTCCAAAGTGTGCTATGCATGTCGCATTTCCCCGCCCGGATTGGGGTGTGTGCGTGTTGTGTGTGTTTTTTGTAGGTATGTAATGTATAATGTAGCGCAGCGTATAAATGGTAGGTGTCCATTGTGTCATGTCGTGTCGTGTCGTTGTCGTGTCTAATAAGAAGCGGAAAATGGATAGCAAATCGTGGAAGCTTTTCTTCGCCAATCATGGGTGCCTGATCAAACGCCGACCCCGCTTATATACAGGTGGGTGTGTGGTCTATGTATGTAACATGATGAAAAGAGCATGTAGAGAAAACAAGGGTTGAGAGATGGTTGCAGTCGACTCCTCGCTCGCTTACCCGGCCAGACAAGTTTTGTGGAAATTGTCGTTGTCACCGTCATGGCTGGACTAGGCAAGGCAAGCTTGCTCTGAAAGCGAGAGATGAAAGCAAGGGAGATCCAATCATTCTCATGGTGATGTTGCTGCTGCGACTGCTGCTGCGGTGGTTGTAGTGATTGTGGTGGTTGGTATTGTTGGTTGTTGGGTATCAAAATGAGTGACTAGAGTCGGGTATCATATCGTATTAAATATAAGGCGTTAAAAAAAACAATGATATAAGTTTTTCGCGTGAGACAATGTTCATGGTTGTTTTGCCGGCGCTGCAGGTCTATGGTTTCGGTTGGGTCGTCAAGTCGTAGAATGAAAAGAGGCGAAAAAAAATCTCCGCAAACATTAAAACAAAAGGTGAAAAAAATCAGAGTCGAAGCTTCTCCGCCAGATTCTTCCAGAATCGTGGCGTCTTCTCCTCGCTTCGGGCCCGCTTCATGTAGGGAACACGATGCATCGGCCCGACAATGTCCTCGTCGCCGCGGTGAGGAAACTTGCCATCAGCATCCAAGGCCTCCAGCATCTGAGGCACAGCGCTAGGCAAGCAGCCCCTTCTGCCCCGCCATTCCATGACCACGAGGAGGTCTTCGTTGTCCTGGCGGCTCCTGCTTTTGCCCACCGGGTTGGCGCTCTCAGAGCGGCCTCGTCCCCGGCCTCGGCTGCGGCTGCGAGACAGCACCGAGGAAGAGCG